ACTCTACTATGTCTATGCCACAGTTAAACTATGGTACGGCATAGCATGGCACTTATGATTCGTGATTTGTCGCGTGTTCGTACTACGGTATTATATTATATATTATTATAATAGTATTATAATGATATGATCATTATCTTCATAAACTTGAACAATTGATATAAATGTCGATATTGAAGGTACACCAAATGTATTTGTTTCATAACGAAATCTCTTTTTTTTAGGTAAGAGCTTATTGAATTTGCATTGATATTCTCTATGAATTTCTCTTAGATTTGAAGTATTGAGTTCTGTTCGAGAAAAGAAAAAAGAAAGAAGGAAAAAAAAAGAGAGACAAAGATATTGTTATGACTTTCAGCATCTTTAATAACTGTGACCTTTATAAAATTAGCTCCAATAAATATTAAATTTTCCCTTAAAAATTTAAGAATTTTTATTTCAGATGAATCTTTATAAAAACATATCGGATCGAAGATATTTGATCGTATCATTTAAAATGAAAGATATCTGGTATGTTCATTACCTTCTACGATAAACTGTATAATTATCGATATTTCTCTCTCTTTATCTCTCTCTCTCTTTCTCTCTCTCTCTCTTTCTTTCTACGAAATAGTGGGTATATTATTGTTACGTACGCATGCGTATCAATTACCCGTCCTGTTGACTTTCGAAAGCATTTACTATTCTAATTAATTATTGCGGAATAATAACGTATGCAAACACACAGGCAATACTTAACCATTGTTATTCGTTGTTCTTGTACGATCGAAGCTATTGATATACCAATGAACACAAAGGTATACATGTATGTATACATGTGTATGTATACATGTATATATATATATCTTTTTATATATTGTTTATATATACACGTACGTATCATGGTATTAATAATTCGTTCAAACGAGTTCGAAAAGCGAAGGAAGAAAGAAAAAAAAGAAAGGAAAAAAAATTTGAAAGGATCGTAGAAAAATTTATAATTGAATGAATAATAATGAATCGATAATGTTAGATCTTTTTGATATAATGATGAAGATAATTGATATTTTACGATCGTTTTATCGATCATACGAAAACTCACCCTGAGCCTCTTTGTATTGGACGATATAGTTGGTGATAGGTGAACTCGCATGACTCGCATCTTGATCGCTTTGAGGCGACGACCATGCTAACAGGATCGAACGGCTTCCTTGTTCGGCCACATGCAAATTCCTTGGAAAGTTTGGTGGTTCTTGGACAAGCAAGTGGATGGTGGCACGAGCGTGACCATAGGCATTGCCGGCAACGCAAATATAATCGCCACGGTCCATGTGGCTTACCTGCATGATTCTCAATTCTGAAAGAACGCGACCGGCTACTACGTTCTTTTCTATGTTGTATCTAAACAACAAAAAAAGGAAAATCCAAGATATTAATTATAAATATTGATATTAAAAACATTCACAACAGTTAAGAGCTTTCTTAAAAAATAAAAGAGATGGATTAAATTTGACAATGAACCGTCTAATCGGTTCAATACAACGATGAATAAGAATTTCAAAAAATAAATAAATAATAATAATAATAATAATAATAATAATAATAATAATAATAATAATAATAATCATCATCATCATCATTTTCAAATTATACGTTCAATCTATTTAATAGGGCTAATTTAACAAAAAAAAAAAGAAAAAAAATACAAAACATGAACGGATAAATTTCACTTCCGTCCTCCTTCATCATCATCATCTCATCGAAATGTCACAGACTATATATTATCATGCATCGGGTGTTACAGGTTTCTCTCAGTAGGGTTGCGCATGATTAATTTCGATACGCACCTAACGTCGTAATTAGGATCGACCCTGCTGTCACGCACACGCCAGCTCAGATCAAGAGGAGCGTCTCCTTCAGCCTCGCATCGTAGCGTTACGCTATCTCCTCTTCTCACCGATTCCTGCCTTGTCCTTACTGTCACCTGAGGACCCGCTGTTTGCCAAAGCATCAGACCAATTACGCATAATGTCCTTTGTAGTTGATCGATAATAAAATTAACAATAAAATTAGAAACAAATATCTTATACCGTTTTAAATGTTATTCATTTAAACAAAATTAAATATACGATTATCTTTCCTTCGAATGTTTTTCTTCGATCAAAGAAAAAACGAAAGAAAAAAAAACAAACGAAGGAAAAAAAAAGAAAAACAAAAAGAAGAAACGTATGTATAGACGGAGATGGAAAGTTTCTATTGATAAAATAAACTAACAGGAATATCTCTGCTATACTGAAGATGTATCTTGGTAATTGACGTAGGTATAGGTAACCAGTGATATAACTCAATGGCAATGTGAATATTTTACCATGAACTGTTAGGCGAATGAGCTTGCTGAGCCCAGGTCCGATACCGTTGCTCGCTTGACATAGATAGGAGCCGGCATGATCTCTTGATACTCGTGGAATCACCAAGGACCCATTTCCGGCAACCCCTGCTCCCTCCGTACCGCTATATCCTAGCTCCCTATAGTCGCCTGGTGTTTCACCTAAATGTTCGACAGGACACGTTTAACCCTCATCCTCATCCTCATACTTAACACCCTTCCTTCATACTATAGTAACGATCGCTGTGCCGTCATTATGAAATTTGAATTTCTATCTTAAATTAAATCCAGGGAAAAGCAAATTTGAATGTGATTTTTCATTGTATATCGTTCCGAACACGACGAGAATACGATTCATTGATTTTAATAATATTTTATTTATATTAAAATATATAAAATATACTTTATTATTTATATTAATTAATAATAACCTAAACAATTTTTTTTTTAATTTTATTTTAAGTATATAATTATAAATATAATACACACACACATATATACACATATATATATATATATATATATATATATATATATATATATATATATATATATTAAAATTTTATTTTACGATAAGCGAACTCGATCGATAATATCGAGAAAAAACAAAGAAAAGTTAAGGAAATATAATAATTGATATAAGAATTACAAGGAATGAGGAATAGCTTGGTATGTACAATAAGATTGGAATCGTGATACCTATGCAACGAATGTATAATGGATACGAATAGATTCCTCTCTTGAATCAGGCAATTCGTCGAAGGAAGCTAGTATTCGCGTGGCTCGCATACCTTCACGGTAGATCGAAGCGATTTAACATCCTCTCCTCCTTTAACATCCTCTTTGCCTTCGAGTATCTATTTCGAATCTTCGTATATATTATACATATATAAATGTGTATGTATATACATGCGTAATCCAAAGATGGAGGTGGGATGAGGCGGTGGGAGGCCGGGTAGTAAAGGAGGAAGAGAAAAAAAGCAACATTTCGATATCCTCCTTAAACGATTCATGAGACGGACTTGAAGTTTTCATTCTTTTCTTTTTTTTTTTTCCCTTTATTTTCATATTTTTCTACTTCCTTTTTTGTTTTCCCCTTTTCTTCTTTTTTTTTTTTGTTTTGTTTTAATCGAACGGTTTTTTTTTTTTATACTCACCGCTTTGATTTCTCTTCAAAGCCAATAGAAAATATTGAAAAAGAAAGAAATAAAAGAGGAAGAAAATATTTATGAAAAGACAAAGCAGGTTAGAGGAGTATATTGCTCTCCGAAACGATTTTCTTCGTTACATGAGAAAGAGAAAGGAATAAAAACGAAGGCAATTTAGCTATCGATGAAATATCATGTCGACGATCAACGTATTGATGAAACTAATTATCCAGCCGCTTTGTCAGCCGAACGGCTTATTTCGAGCTGAATGAAAAACTGCTGAGAATGGCCGATCAGCGAATTTCGTGATAGATCGTGAACCATACCCTTCTGTCATTCCTTTTTTTCTTTTTTTTTTCATCTTCTTTTTTTTTTTTACTCTTTTCTTCTTTACCTTTCTTCGTTCGCTTACCACCTGGTGTAACTTAATGAAAGCCATTTTATATCGGACAGACGCCAAACTCGATCGCCATAAAGGCCGATCCAAAGTTATTAGACTACTCGAACTCGATGAAATAAAATAAAGAGTCGAAAGGAAGAGTTAAAATAAAGAGAAGGAAAAAAAAAAATATATATATATATATATATATATATATATATATAAACGAAGAAAGTATATAGATATTGTATCGATTTTTTCTTTTCTACATTATCTGACGTTTATGAAGATGAAAAATAAAGATTCAAAGAAATTGAACATTCAATTTCGATAAGACGAAGTTAATTTTGACGAAATGTAAATAACTGGGTTGGATAAATATTAACGCGTCAACTGGGATTTCTTTTCCTTTTTTTTCTTTTTTTCTTTTTCTTTTTTTTTCTCTTTTTTTCTTTTTTTTTTTTTTTTGATGAAAAAGGGAGACTTAAAGGATTATGAATCGTTATTACTTCTCATTGTAACGTGTACGTATATATCTATGTATGTATGTAACAATCACGAAGAGGAAAAATTTGCGAAAGGAAGAAAGAAAGAAAGAAAGAAAGAAGGAAAGACAAAAAAAAAGAAAAGAAGGAAAAGAAGGGCACTGAAAACGAGAATGAGAAAGTTCTTCATCTACGTAATTGTTAAAGATGAAAAATGAGGTAGAGGAAGAGGGGATGGGCAGAGGGAATTCAGCTTTGAAGTTGGCCCGATTTCTAGTCAAGTCTTCAAGTTCTTCGTGACACTTGAAAGAGAGAAAGAGAGAGAGAGAGCGAGAGCGAGAGCGAGAGAGAGAGAGAGAGAGAGAAATAAGAAGAAGGGCGTTTTTCACTACAAGGATATAGAAGCGAGACAGGTAGAGAGAGAGAGAGAGAGAGAGAGAGAGATAGAGAGAGAGAGAGAGAGAGGAAGAGAGAGATTCCAGCTTTAAGGAGTCGTGACTTACCGATAGATTGCTTCCAAGTCACAGTCGGAATGGGGAATCCTTCAGCCTGACAGGCAATGGAGACGCCGTGACCTACAACGGCATCCTGGTCGATAGGTTCCACGGTCCATCTCGGTGGTACTAAAAATACAATCCAATTGGCTTAAAATCTTCCAGCTGGTCGAGCGCGAGTTCGATCAAAATTTTCATTCAGATCTCTCTGTATTCTCCCGGCCCGTTCGACGACAAATTAATTTCTCTATTGTTTCGTATTTGCCAGGACGAACTTTAAATCGACGACGATTATGCGTTTTATCTTTCTTTTATCTTTCTATCACCTTACGTCTCTCTCTCTCTCTCTTTCTCTCTCTCTCTCTCTCTCTCTCTCTCTCTATCTTTCTTTCTTTCTTTTCTTTTTATAAATGGTATTTCAGTGTTTGATAAACGAGAAAATTCTAATCCGTTTATGTATTTTCTTCGAAATAAAAACACACTCTCTCAAGATGTATGTTTTCGAAATGACATTCGAAAAATTCAATTTCTTTGTTTAAGAGAAAAAAAAAAAAAAAAAAAAAAGAGAAGCGAAGTATCGGAATTGACACGAAATTTATACGCGTTCGTATGGAAGAAAAGATCGAAATAAAAGAAGAAAAAAGGAAATATTAAATTATTATATCGAATAATTTTTATTGAAAAAAGAAAAAAAAAAAAAAAAGACGAGAAATAGAACTATTTTGAAACGTTATCCTGCAAATTGGAAGATAGTATTATTACAATCGTATCTCAAATTTATCGTCGGAATTGTATACCTCGGATGAATTTTTTACTATTTCACGAATTACATCGACAGCAAGGGATCGTAATAAAATATCGATTTGAAAGAAAGAGAGAGAGAGAGAGAGAGAGAGAGAGAGAGAGAGATGTACAGAACGAAATGAAAATATTTTTCACTCACGGAATATCGTAGTTACCACACGAATATTGTCTACGTCCTTCGTCATCGACGACGGTCTGATATTTTTGCGAAATACATTTCGGGATATTACGCGTTTGAAAATTACTCAAACGAATGTCAATAACAACGGAGAGAAGAGCGATACCTACGATATTAAGAACTTTCTTCGAACGTTTATTTACGTATCTAGACGCGTTTTATAACACATTTTGCGTAGGAAAATTACTTCGATAGAAAGATATCAATCAATGTTTTTGAAGGATGTTCCCCGAAGCCCGAGCAATTACGTTCGTTGTTGATAAACGACCAATTCATTGTTAGATCTCGACATTTTTCAAAGAATTATGTCTGACTGATGAAATCATTTTCTTGAAATAAAAGACGACGTGCGAGCCGAGATTAAGAGATCCATCTCTCTACAACTCTTTTTTTTTCTATCTTTTTTTTTTTTTTTTTTTTTAATTATTTACTTTCGTACTAATCAAGTACGCATTACTTACTTACGTGTTTTATTATTTTTCACATTTTCTTAAAAGGCATGCAAATTTCAACGTATGTCTATGCTGCATACTTACGCAATCACTAAGAATGTTTAAACAACAATATGATAACAATTTCATTATGATATATATGTATTAATATTTATATACATATATATATATATATGTATGTATATATATATATATATATATGTATGTATCTACGACTAAGTTACTTGAATTGACGATGTTGTATCTCTCGCAAAATCAAACGTAAACGCTCAGTGCAGTCAAATCAATAAATGTTGTTCGTGTGTACTTCCAAAGAAAGGAAAGTAAAAAAGAACGAACGGGTCGTGCGAGACTGGCCATCGAAACGAAGGAAGTGCTTTCATCTGAAAAACGAAAAAAGAAAACATGCGTGTTTGTTGAAATAAAATTACATTTGATAAATAATAAGTGTATAAATAAATTCTTTTCGTGGAATTTCATGCAAAGTGACGATAGATCACGAATAAAAGAGATACCAAGCTCTTAAATAAATTATCGATAATAATAATAATAATAATAATAATAATAATAATAATAATAATAATAATAATAATAATAATAATAATAATAATTAAAAAGTGTGAGTAATCAAACGAGATAATGACATTCCTGATATGTGAGAAAGATTTCATGCGAAAGAAACGTGTTAGAAAGATATAACGACGAAAAAGTCGATATCATTCAAGTATTCCTTTGATATCGATTAGGAAAAGTGCATTTTTGTGTGTTCGTACGTGTATATGTGTGTGTACAAGCAACATTCCAAGTAAAAAAGTATCGACGATAATATAAAAATACAGTGCATAGAAATAACAGCAATAACAACAACGCAAACGATACTTCTAATGCTTTTAACGATTAGAAACAACGATTTAAAAATCGAGACATACGAGAAGAAAAATTATGAAATACTCCTTTAATTCTTTCATCGTCATTCCAAGTTGCTCTGATATAAATATAATATATATATATATATACATATATATATATATATGCTTATATGTATACACGTATATACGTATATATACATACATATACATATACATATATATATATATTTATATACTTATATATTTATATTTATATATTATATGATACGTAAACATATTATAGGTATGAATATATATGTATGGGTATATAAATATGAGATGATATAAACGTTAACTATGCGAATGCATGCTTTACATCCGTTACAGACATTTGTTGCATTACAGGAGCACAACAACGTCTCGTATAATATATATATATATATATATATATATATATATATATATATATATGTATATATATAGATAATATAAAATTACTACGATACACTACACCTAGGGTATTCATTGAACCCTTTCAAAAGACCGGATAAACGAAAGGACAAAATAAATAGACGTATTTCTAATCTAATTATCAAGAAAATTTGTCGAACCTCGCCTACGTCGGTTCTTCAACAACAACGTATATAATTACTGAAATGATGGTGAGGGAGCGGATGGGTGGGTGAGTGGTTGGTCGTGGTGGGGAAGGGGGTATGGAGCGAAAAGGGAATATACGAAGAAGAAGAAGAAGAAAAAGAAAAAAAAAAAGATGGAACGATATAAAAAAGTCAACATAATTAAGAGACTTTTTCTACCTTACCGACTTAGCCGAGTCTATAATCGTGGCGGGAGACTTGTTGAAATACTTATACGAAAGAAGAGGGAAAAAATTGAAAAATTGCAAAATTAAAAGATTAAAAAATTGAAAGATGAAAATGCATTTAATAAAAAATATATATATATATTCTATTTGTCCAATTACGTAAAAAATGATAAGAGTGCCGTTACGTAAAACATGGCGACAAATCTTTACACGGCGATTTCACTTTCGAAAATAGGCATGCAAGATAATAATAATAATAATAATAATAATAATAATAATAATAATAATAATAATAATAATAATAATAATAATAATAATAATAATAAAAATACAAGTAATGAAAATAATAATAATGGTAATATTAATAATAACAATAATGATAATAATAATAATAACAATAATAATAATAATAATAATAATAATAATAATAATAATAATAATAATAATAATAATAATAATAAGGATCGATTGATCATTTGGAATAATGAATATTATTAATTATTATGTTATATTACGGACATATGAGTCTCTGCAATGCAGGTATCTCCTGTTGTACTCCTTGCTTTTCAGTCCTAAGATTAAGTTACCTATCGAATGATTTCTTTTCGTTAAGAGAGACATCTTGTCGCCTTGCTTTTTTTCTTTTCTTGTCTTTTTTTTTTCTTTTATTTTTTTGTTTTGTTTTTTTTTCTTTCGTTCCACAAGAAGGATCGATGAACCATCGTGAATAGAAATTCTTCTCGAATAATTCTTCCGTAGATTGAAGAATTTTCTCGTGTCGAAAAATCAGAAACGAATGGAAAATTTTACTCTCATTTTAGACGCTTTCAGAATGCGGGTAATAAGAAAGGGAAACGGTAATAAAATCCAGCTAGGAACTCTACCGTCTTACGATCCTCTTTAATACAATCGTGTAGAGGGATGGTGGGGATGGGGCGAAGGGGCTTTCAGGGGAGAAGGGATGGGTATAACCGGGAGAGAAAAGGACGAAAGCTCGCGGTCGTAATGCGAACCGGATATAAAAATACCACTAAAAATCTACGCTTGCCTGATCGTAAACCTGTTGCGAGAAAGGCAAGCTTCCTCGTAAAACGGAAAACGTTCCCTGTGTCTATGACTGTGAGTGAGGGTGCGCGTACGCCAGCACGTTCCCATGGCAGGCGGTATTCACGTTGATGAACATGGCCACGACTTAAAAGCACATTGCCTCCCATTTGGCCAAGAGAGAACAAACATTATGACTATCTCGAGTACGGCTTCTTACGGCTTTGGTTCCCGTTACTTTCGGAGAGAACGCATTTGTGTAATGACCTGGAAAACTTGTCCCGAGTTTCTGCCTTCTTCTAGTTTACACGTAAGGGTGCTTACACGTACCTGGATGTACATGTGTGCGGGTGTATGTATATATATATGTATGGAATATATATACATATGAAAGAAAATTTTTATTAAAGAGAAAGGAGAGAAGAAAAAAAGAAGATAAACTAACTTTTTTATCACAACGGATAGATAGATAGATAGATAGATAGATAGATAGATAGATAGAGAGAGAGAGAGAGAGAGAGAGAGAGAAATGAATGAAAAGGTAATGCATCGATCAAAGAGCTTCAGTTATCTCAATGTAAAGAAAATATGTTGAAATATTATTAAACGTATAATAACACATTATTTATTATATATATATATATATATATATATATATATATATATAAGTATTTTGTTATATACAATTTATTTACAAAAAATATATACAAGGAGAGAGAGAGAGAAAGAGAGAGGAAAGAAGAAAAGTAAAAAAGTACCATTGTAGAAAGTTAATATCTAGTAAGTTTCAAGATGATGTAAGACGGCAACGTGTACTATTTTATAGACATTAAAAGAAAGATATATGATAGCGAGTAATACGTTGGGAAATTGTAGCCAAAGAAGAAGAAGGAGAAGAAGAAAACGAAGAAGAAGAAGAAGAATAAGAAAAAGAACGAGTCTAAAACGTAACGCTGTTTCAGCTTCGAATCACTGGATAT